TAGATTCAGTGATGTGGATGTAAATGAACTGAAAGGGTTGTTTTAATCAACAGTTTGTTTTATTCAGCATCTGTACAGAATTGAAATGAGGGCTGGAGGGGAACTCAATCAATCCATCTTTATGTATTGGGAACATTGGACGATCGTTTTACAGTAACTAAAAAGTTACGTTCTCAGTAACACATTACTTTTTGGTTTCATCAACTGAGTTACTAAGTTACTTTTTTTTCAAAGTAACTAGTAACTGTAACTAGTTATTATTTTTCAGTAACTAGCACATCACTGGTTATTAATAACTAGGGAAGTGGCAGTAACTGGCCTGTGGTTAGGCCTAAGGAGTATTCTTCTATAAAAGTCCAACACTAAGAAATAATAAAACTTTACTATTTAGTCTAATATTGTATTTTTCCATCGAGATCTTGTCCTCTAATTTCATGAACAAACCACCGGCAAAAACCCACTGACAGAAACATATTCCGATGTTTCCGCACATATACTTAAACACAAGACTCAAGACACTCCTACTGCCCACACACTGGCACTCACACAGACAGAGGTGCACACACATAAACAGGCACATGCACTCAAAAACACACACATACACACTTGCACACACCCCAGTCTTCACCAGCAGATCTCTGTGCTGGGAGCTTATATAAGGGAGAGTGGGAGGCTGAGTGCTATTTCAGGACCAGAAAAGACGTAAGTATCCGTGTGTGTGAGCCCGTGCTTGTGTGAGTGTGTGTGTGCACGGCTATAGCACCTATATAGATTTGTATTGGTGCTCCTGCGTGTGCATGTGCGTGTGTAGGCCTGCTGTAAGGACTATAAGGACTCTGATTCAGTGGGTTTCATAACCAGTCAAGTTTGAAGTGAAGTTTGGCTCAGAACCTCTGGCAGCTCAGAGAGTCTGTGCCTACGACGTGTTCAGTCATACCCCTGAGCTGCCTGCACATTTCAAAGGCAGCCATCCTACAGAGCTGCACAGAAACTGGAAATGTCTTCATGTTTACTTGTTGTAGCCACAGACATGTCAAGTGCATCCGGATGTTGTGGCAGCAGTATCGCCTCCCTCGCCGCTCTGATAAGCGCCTTTCCAAAGACTGCTTTTAATTGCAGTCTTCCCCCAAAAGAAGCCTCTCTAAGTTTCCTGAGATTAAAATAGAGGTTGGTTCACCACTTTTTCCTGAGGGGGAGATCACCCAGTTCAACAAATGAAAATATATGTAAAGCCTTTGAACTGGGCTAGAGGCACACAAAGACTTTATAATATAGGAAAGACGTGGGGCAACACATCCTCGAACTTTGTCAACTTCTAATAAGTTATTAAGAAATCTATTTATGTTGTGATGCACAGTCTGTTTAAGTCAGAATTAGGTTAGCACTGTGAATTTAGAAATTTAACACAATACTGACAACCTCACGAAAGAAATCCAGGTAAAGTTTGACAACTGAGCTCACTGCCTCTCTGAGTGTGGCCTTAACCTTGATTCATGAATCTGTTACACACCTCAACTATTTCTGAGATGGCAACCACCCTCACAAGTCACTTGGATAATATTACAAGCTCAGAGCAAGAAGTGGTTGAGATGTAGTCCAAGTTGGCTTGCAACACAGTATACTTGAAGAGGGAACTGATTTTCCACTGAAAACATCAGAATTTAAGAGATGATAGTTATACAGATGAATTATGTTTATATCTCGAGGTTGAACTTTTTGGGCTCTGCACCCCTGAGCAGTTTTCTTTGAATGAACAAGGTCCGTCATCTTACACTTACCCACCTACCTATTTTCTACCTTTGACATTTGCTGTAAGAGCAGCTTAATGCTGTTTACAAAGTATGACGACTGCCAGTATGTGGGTATTTATGTCGGGTATTTGTGATGTGAATCTCAACAAACTGGTGCCAGATAACACTTGTGTGTTAGCTGTGATGAATCCTGGGGGTGGGGGGGGCGGACTGTGGCTCGTGTCAATCATACCTTAAATGTAATGAAGGTGCCAAGAAAAAGAAAGATTTAATATTTCACCGAAGGAAAAAAAAAAGGCTGCCAAGCAAAAAGGATGGCTTCTACACAATATGAAGCATTTTAATCTCATAGTCAGAGGATAACTACAGTGATTGAAGCGTTTTAGTTGTAATGTGGGCATTTTGACAAAGCTTCTTAATTTATTATTGTCATGTCTGAGAAACAAGGAACACATACCAAAGAGAACATCCTGACATGCTGTTATGCTTTATTTAGCTCTCTAGGAGAAAGAGTGACCTGATGCTCGGCTGACAGCAACAGCGAATGTTAGCTGGCGGGCCGAACTGACAAAAGCAAACAGACCCAAAGTTTGTCCTTGTTACAGTGATTCAGCGAGTCTGTGGGTTCTGAAAAGCTGGGCTGTGAAGTGTGAAGGCACATTTGGCTGCTTTTGCCTCATCACTAAATCATCTGTATCACTACTTTACTGTTACTGCTTCTCATAGCAGCCTTCAATCATAGCCTTATGTTTTTACTTTTGAGATTAAACTTTATAAACTTAACTTGATTTATATCTGGAGCTTCTTCTAATTTATTAAAACAGCCTCTTTGTTTGTGGTAAAGGAATTGTGTCTATTTTTTTGCTTCTCTTAATAATTTGTAATTTTAAGTGAGCCAATAATGCACATTATGTAACACTGACTGACAGCAGAGCTGATGTTCTGATACTGCCCGGAGCTGACATTTGCACTCTTACTCATCATGTTTAAAGTATGCAGATTTTCTAATGAGGCTAAATAATATTTGCTCAGTGGTTCATTTACAAATTAATTATTCAGAAGTTAGCTGATCCTCTTTTTGCTAAATGACTTTAATTTCGTTAAGGTAGGTATTATTAGTCACATGGTTATGCACTTTTTAGGTTTGTCTTTCACCACTACATTTTCTATGCAACCATTCTAGCCTCCTGGCAATTCAGTGTGTTGGTGTTAACTGTTCTGAGAAAAAAAGAATTTACTTGGTGGAAGTGATATGAAGCATAAATCTATTACACATTACTACATGAATTTCATTCAATGACATTTTTTCTTTATTATCTAGCATTACATTTAGTGTTATTTTTTTGCTGAGACTGTTGCTGTATCCCTCTTTGCAGTAAAACACTGATGAAGATGAAAATTAAGGTGAACCTGAATTAGGATTTATGAAAACATCTCAAGAGTTGCAATCTGGTTCTTCCATCTAGTGGCAGAGAAAGGCCTCACAGAGGCTGACATGAAATGCCCTCAGCAGACTGAAGATGCTCTGTGGAGAAATTAGAGTAGTTCAGATTTAGTTTCCAGTCTGAGTTTTTACCTACTACAGACACACCATCTGAAGCATGGGGGCTTTAAATGCTATGTTATCATATATATTATTGTCTTCTAATGCTGCCTGCGGGTGAAGTTCTAACATGTGCTTGAACAAAGACAGTCTCAGTGTCCACGTAAAAATCCTTCCTGTGAAATTGCAACAACGGAGGAGTTTTTTTCTGGGCTGAAATCCTATAGTGTCACTAGAATTTCTTTTATTTGTTTATTTTTTAAATAATAAACAGGAAAGAGCATTGATACAAACAGAGCAAAGTTAGGTTATCAAACAGTTATCTATAATTAATATAAATCATGAATATTTCCTAAAAATGACTTCCTGGGGACTTCCTAAAGAGGCCCGAAAATCATCAAGACCTGTTATCTCTGAGTATAATAGATGCTTATGTACCACTCAAGTTCTTTTTTACTTTTAATTTCTATTTGATTGAATTGAAATTAAACAAACTATATATATATATATATACATATTTTTTTACTTTGACATTGAATCAAAACTTATATCCATATTTAACAATCATAAGAAAAGATATTCCTTTATTCATCCCCCAAGGAGCAATTCCAAATTTACAACTATAATTAAAATGCAAGAGTTCACAAACATGAAATACTTAGGGTTTAAGAAGTATAAAAATGTTAACATTTCAAGTTTTAATTTGAAGGACAAGTAATAAAAAAGTTCTACTCATCATGGCCTTTAATAGTCTTTTGGAGCACCACCCAGTGCTTTTAAATTCCACTCTTTCAATCTGTTTTCAAATATGAATTCAAAGCATCTTTTAACAGTCATATAATGAGTGTAGGTATCAATTTGTTCCCACTGATGGATAACTCTTTTTAGAATGAGACCCTGTAAATTATTCAGCGAAGAGATAATGAGCAGACATCCCACACAGGCCATGAGAAACAACTCGCTGAAGCCCTACAGTCATCGGCTCACAGTCGGTAATGAAACCGCATTACCCAAGTGGTGCAGAAAAATGCTGCCAAATAAGTGGAGGAGTAGAAAAGGTTTCCCTGCCATGTCACCCACAAAGAGCCAGTTTTCTTAGGTGTGAAAAGAAGCGGGAGAGCCAGAGGAGCTTAGATGGAACAGTTCAGTGGAAGCTGGTGTCTCCAAATAACCTCGGGCTGGTTAGCTTGATCATGATGCTGAAAGAACTTGAAAAGAGCACTTGTGTATCTGTTAATAATAAACTCAGAGCGCAGCGGCTCGATCAGAGGCTTAAGATAGAAGCTGAATGAGACATATAAACTGCTCAGACAGAAAGAGAGAATAGCATTCATTCTTTTATGGCTGTACTTTGATTCTGTCTATTTGGGACCATTTATAGGCCATGATTACAAGGTCAGGCTGTCAGTGCAACAAAATATGCTGCTCTTTTTCATGAATTTTATTTGCTAGGTATGATCTGACATGAGGTTTAGTCTTCAGAAGCTGCAATCTTCAAGGGTCTGCTCCTATGCAACACCAGCAGCATTCTGTTGCGTCTATATCTCCATTCTTATAATCCTCGATTCTGAACCCGACTGGATTAACAGTCAAGATTTTTGTCTCGGAAGATTAAACCTGTGTTTTGTTTCTGGAAGAAAAGACAGACTTGCATCTCAATAAATCAAACCCAGATATTCATACACACAAAGAGTGAAACAAACAAGGCAGATTTTCTCTTTTAATCATAAATCATCGTTTGTTTTTTTTTACAAAACTGAAAATCATGTGACGATGATTTGGCGGACATTGTAACCTCTTGATTGGAAATCTGAGACAAAAATAGAAGCTCTTGCCAGATCACTCGACAAATACTTGACATGTTTTGACACGTATGTTTGAGTGGTTGTGAGTGTGGGTAAGTGGGTGGATGGATGGCCTATATTCGTATTTACTGTCTGTGTGAATATGCATCTCAGGTCCACGATCCGTTCATGGGTAGGGCTTCTATTCGGCATTCATCTGCGGGCGGCCATGGTTGGCTCCCATGCCTCACTGCCACAACGGTTCATAAAACAGTTGTCACGGCTACTTGGTTTATTCATCCATCTTTCTGTCTCACCCTTTTTTGCTGCAGTTGATTAGTGTCTTTGCCACAGCTGTTCACTGCTTTTGTTCTGCTCTCTGGGCATTTTCTGGTATGGTTGTCATGGTGATTTGGTGTTAAGCACCCGAACAGTCTTGCGGCCGTAGTGCCAATAACTGTAGCCTGAAGCTGCTGTAGTCACCGCGGTAACATACCTGCAAAACAATACAAGATGATATTAACTTTCCAAATTGAAGCAGTTATTTGTCATTAATGATTGTGACCAATCAGATGGTTTGACAGCATCATTTACCAATTCAAACATAATGTACAGAAATATTTCACTGGAATCTTCAATCAGATAATTCTACACTAATCAATAAATATTTACACATATATACAAATGATTTTAAATTGCCACATTAATGTTTAATGTGTGTAAGTTGGATAAACAAATACACATTACACTTCAGTGTTTCCCCTAGAGTTTTTTTTTTTTTGGCAGCGGCGCTTCTGTGTTGGGGGGGGGGGGGGGGGTTAATTTTCACTCATGGAGTTATGCTGTTACGTTCACATTACATTACGTTACCCGCGCTACTTGATATATAGACCGTGTAAGCTTGAAGGTTACCCTTCACATTAATGGAAAAGGGTCCGACAGGATTTGATGCGCTCATTGATGACTCAAAACAAGTCGCCGCTGCTGAATGAATGTAGGGGAAACACTGCACTTACTTGATGGATGTGGACTGATTTATATCATCTATCATTTTGTGCTTTTAGTTTTACCTCGTGTTTAACTTTGGCTGTTAGACTAATGAGTCTCATCTGAACCTGAACTCCCGCTGACTTCTGAGAAGACACTTCTGCTTCAAAGTTGGTTACACTCCTTTAAGTTATTGTCACAAAACTTAGAGCTACCGAGTTGGCATGTTGTGTAGATTACTGCAACAGACTGTGAAATATTATATGTCTCAAACATGTAGGTCACTGTGACTGTGACACACTGGCCCTGAGTTGGATCTCTATTGTTTGACTCACACAGAGTCGTAGACAGAAATGAGTCAATATGCTTGATCCAAACACAGCAGGAGAAAAGCGGCATTTATGTACTTGAGTCTGATGAAACATTGCAAATCAGTCACCTCTCGGTACAGCCTGCACTTTTGGTTCCACTTCAGTGAAAAGGAAAGGGGATTATATATATTGAAAACAAGTAGATGAGAGCTGTGTATCATCATGTGTAATATAAATAATGTAAGTGATTTACCATAAGCACTGCAGCAGAACACTGTCTGTATACTGGAAGACTGGAGCAGCCAGAGAGGCTGCAACCAGAAGGAGCTGGATGGCTGTGTTCACCTGGCAAAAATAACAAAATAAATAAAACACAAAGTCAGAGAAACACATTATGAAAAAGAACCAACACAGGTCTCAGGGTAAATGAAGTTTGGCTCATTATTTTGGGGGAAACACGCAGAGCAAGCGATGACACTTTTGGCTGCTTCCAAAGTACGAAAAAACAACACAGGCAAGTAAAAATGATAGTCCTGCCATCCACTTCTTCCAGGACTGTATCTGACAGAAATATCAAAGTAAATTATGCAGCGTTTGTGGTTTAGCCATTAAAAAACATTTTGACAGTGAATTTTAATGATTGTTTTTGCAGATCACATTTTTGCATCCATGTATCAGAGATAACTTTTTCATGTACGCTCAGACTCAGTGTATGAAAGTATCCATAAATAAGCTGAAAATATGGATTATGTAAAAAATTAGTTTATCATCATCATGGCTTTTAAGTGTAATTGAAAAAGAGTATAGTCACAGTCACACGAATGATCTAACAACCTGAGGGTCTGTTTGAAAAATAATAAAGATTGTTTTACATTTAAGAAGTTCAAATTTCTTTTTTTCTGCTTAAACAAAAACTCTACAACTTAATAACAGTGAAATTTGGATATTGGGAGGATGAATGAAATAATAAAATACACTTTGCATGATTTGGAGCATGCACATTAAGGTTATCTTGGCTGGACACGTGCAGGTGTTACGCTGAGTTACGCTGTGTGTAACATCATCATTTCAAGAGAGATGCAAATAGAAATCCACACAGAGATGAAATGGTAGTCGTTTACAGATTTATGCACTCTCTGACCCACTTTCAAAAAGTAGCGTTTACAGTCACCCAAAACACCATTTCCATGTAGATAAAACGCCGAAAAACTTTTGCGTTTACTCTTAAATTCATTTCTGTGTGGACGTACTGATACCGCTTCAGACAGACTTTTTCTTTGTCTTAAACTGCAGGGCTGTACCAATTCCTCACGCCTGACTTGCTCTTGCCCTATTTAGCCACGAAATTATTGCCTTCTTTTGCAAACACCATGTTTGTTTACACTGGTGTGTGTGGGAACTGGGGAGTGCTCTTGCAGGAAGGGGGACCCTACGGTGGCCTGGAGGTGCAAGACATGATAGACAGGAAAATCGATTTGACGATTTTAATTTTTTTAAAATCATCATCATGATCAAATAATCAGATTCCGATTAAAATTGATTAATCATGCAGCCCTACTTTGTTCATCCTAGTCTATTGGTTTAGGTAACAGTGCAAATAACAGATCCAATGAGGTAGATTTTGAAGGCATCCATTAAAAAAGAAATCCATTCCATCAGCTCAGACCACCCTCTCAAAGTCACTCTACTGAAACACATGAGCATACACTCCCTCACTTATGATGCACTTACGAGGTCAGGTGGGAGGGTCAATTGCTAAACTGTCGCTCGTCTTTGCTGGATTTCAGAATTCATTGATGCTAAATTTCACTTCAGTGCAGAAATGTACCAAATGTTCAAAGTGAAGGATCACTGAGAGTGTGGGGGTGGTTTGAGTGTGTGTGTCTTACCTTGCTGAAGAGTGTGGGTTTGAGCTGAGCTGTCGTGTAGCAGGGATTAAAAAACTTACTAAGGGTCACCTGGTGAAAAAAAAGAAGCACTTTTAAGTAGGCTTAATTCAGTCATTTGAAACCTCATGACATTTAATGTTATTTCCTTCTTCTTAAAAGTTTTACACCAAATATTGAGACTTACAGTCTCAGTGTTCAAGTCCTATTAACTAAAACATTCTGAAAAAGTTTCTTGTATGGACTGAAATGTGTCTTACAGGTGGAGGTACAGTCTTGTATCTGACCCAGAAGACAGCAGCGATCAAACCGATGTCTCTGGATATTACCAGAGCCGTCAGTAGAGCTGAAATAAAACAACCAATTAGCTTGTCTGTAATGCTTTGAAATTACTGTTAGACTGTCGCATACCACAGATGCATTTAAAGGTCAGTACCTGGTATAAGCTCAGCATAGGTGAGGCTTAGATATAAAATACTGATGAGAATCTTATCAGCCAATGGGTCCAGAGCGCTCCCCAATGCAGACTTTTGAGTCGGCCATGTTCTGGCGATGTAACCGTCCAACTGTGTTATAGAGACAGAGGAAAGAGACGTGAAAATTTAAGAGATGCATTTAACCCTCCGATTATCCTTGGGGTCAATTTGACCCCATCTAATGTTTATCATTCAAAAAATAATACTTGACTGTTTTTTTTGCTTCATATTTCGTGACTTTTCCTGATTTGATGGGGACAACTGATCAAGCATACAATTATCATGCTATATTTTTAATCTGCTGTACACATATTGCATGCATTTTTGTTCCTCTGGGGTCAATGTGACCCCAAGCTGTTTTGGCTGTGTAAAACTTCCTTGTCTGCGTGTTTGACCTAACATCCCCATACCGGCTGGTGCAGAATGATTACTTTTGAGTTGATACATAACAGAGAGGTGGGGAACTTTGACACTTCTCGTGGTGTGGACATGTGGTAAACAACTTGACTTGTGAACTCCTGCCAAAATGAGGAAGCCACTGTAGGCTTGCAAGTTGATCACGCCACAGTCTTCACAACTACAAATAACTCCTAAATGATCATCTCAAATACAATATTTGATGGTTATATGAAAAGCTTGAAAAATGAACATCTTCAACAGGCGGACTGTGTGTCTGGTGAGACACACTCAGCAGCACGTCTACCTTGTTGTTGAAGTCAGTAGAGGGACCATAATTTTCCATTTTTGGTGCTACCGTGACATGGAAGAGAGGGAAACAATATTCTCAAGAGAACTTTCCTGCACCATGGACCTAAAGGTGTGTGTGTGTGTGTAGGGGTGACCTACTGCACTCACACATGTAAAAGTACAGGACTGATACTGTATTTCCTGTGCTGTGTAGGGTGGGGTATTCCCGCAGGAACATGGGTAATTCATGCAAAATAATCAATATGGTTCAGTCTGGGAGAGTCATGAATGTGCGCCCCAGACAAGAAAAATGTTGGAGGAAAGATTTTCAAGATACACGAACTCTAAAACTGAAAGTTCGACCTGATGGTGGCGCTACAGGAAAGGTCAACCCACTGATAGGTTTCATTGTTACAGGGTTATTTATGAACTCAACAAATAAACAAAGTGCCTGACCAAAATCTTGGTCAACAATTGCATGTAAATCATTTTCTGGGGGCAAAGATACCTGGGATCAGATTGACCCCAAGGGTAAAATATGTTAGTAATATTTGAGGACAGTTTTATATTATAAGGTCTACAGATACAAATACAGAAACTAGGAGGTTTTAACAAAAGGTGACGACATTGAAGATGAGCCAACAGTAGTATTACAGTAATATTAATTATATAGTTGTGATAATTATATGGCAGTAATGATGACAGTACAGTCATCCTGCACTGCAGTGGGTCATAATTCTGCAGCTCTACATGAAAAAAAATGTGCAACAAGTGTCTTAGCAAAAGCGTGCTTTACCAGGTCAGTGGCTCCAGCCAGTATAAAGAGAGCAAGGCTCAGGTGAAAGTGCTGCTCGATGATCAAGTGACCCAAGAAGGGAGCCAGTACGATCCGACACACACACAGAAAATTGGGGATGGTCCATGGGTTCTCATACTGCAGGAAATAAAAAACAAAGTCTCATAAGTAAAATGCAAAATATTTACTGAACATATATGCATAACTTTTAGTACTTGAAGACATATACATAAGAACATATATCAACACATAACTAAAATCAGCCTAGTCATACTAACAACTCATTCAAGCAGTGTGTAGCAGCCCCTCACCTTTATCACAAATAAAGATCTCTGAAAATACTGTCATATTAGTTTAAAAATGTACTGTGTGAACCAAAGGTAAATCAAACATCTTTGTCCCTGAGCTATATTTAACAACTTGGCTCATCTAGAAACCAAAGATCCTTAGTTGCACAGTTTAGATCTGGTAGTCTTCCTCTAGCAACTTACGTTGGCTGATTCAAAACTATTCCAGTTAAAAAAACAGACTTTGAGAGTTGTGTGATTTCAGTCACAGTTTCTTTTGGGCTTAAAAAAAAAAAACTTCTTCAGCAACTCTTGAGGGAGTTGTTTTAGGGCTAACCTTAACCCTGAAATTGTTTTGTGTTGAGATGAGAAAAGAATGAAAAAGCTGCAAAAGTTTGATGTGTTTTAGATGGAGTTTTTTTTCCTTAAAAGCCTGAAAAAGAGGGTAAAATACTCTTTTTAGTTTCTGTGTTATTTTTCTTTTGTTCCATAATAATAAACAAAACTTCAATATACTCTGATCCTGGACTATTTAAACTCATGATGTTATCTAAGCCCATGTGGTCTGGCTATAAAAGGGTATTTGTGTCAGTGACAAATAAGGGTTTGCATCATGAGTAATTCAAACATATTTTAATAAATTGTTTTTAAGTTTGAATTAGGTTTGCAAAGATTTATATTTTGTATCTCTGTTAGTTTCATATAATTTCAAATAGCATAATTTACACCTTTTTTTTTTACAAAATGAATGATGGATTTCCCTTGAAAATGTCTAGTGGTGTAACCATAACAAAAGGGGAAATATTTAATACTTATTTCCACCAAGTGTATTTAAAAATAGTTACTTCATCATAATACATCAGTTGAAAATACATTTTGTCAGGATTTTTTTACACAAAAAAATTAGATGCATTTTTGCAATATAGAGCAGGAGAAATGCTGAAAACAGCTGGAATTTTCTAAATAACATTTGACAAATCATGTAGAAACTGTTAAGATATATGTTAGTGCGTTGCAGTAGAGGAGTAAATTCCATTCCCCATGCATTTTCTCAAATATTCTATTTTTTTAATGAAAAATACTGGTTACACCAAGTGACACAGACCAGTTACAGAGTTTTTATTGTTACACCATATTGACATTTTTCCCATTATTCCCTGAATATTCTCTCCAAATGGAGTAAAATCTAGACATTTTAGACTAAGTCTTCAAAAAGAGAATGTATCCAAGTAATTGATGAGTTTATTTGTGAATTCTAGCCTTTTTGAATTTAAGTAAAGATGGGAAAAAAACTGTTACGCCATTGACCCATATATGAACAATAATACATCAAAACTTCTCTAAGATAGCTGTAAACAACCTGCTAAATGTCTGTGCAACCATACTGAGCCTCTTCCAATGTACTAATTTTAGCTAAAACACATGCCTGTCTGTCTAGTTGTCAGGTCTGCACATTTTTTGAATTTCAGATGGAAAGATGATACTCTTCCTTCATTTTATTTATGACATCTCTGCCCACTAGTTTATATCTGGAAAAGATTTTATGTAAACATGATTATAGTTGTCACTGTAGCTGTAAATGATCAGAAAAAACTTTAACAGCTGTTCGCCTATTTCACATTGAATACTTACAATCCTGTGAGAGTTTGACTGTGTAATTATGAGTCAAAGACAGGACATCTATTTGGACTAGGATATGAATATTCTGAAAACATTTAATATCTCAAGATTTAAATTGGTAAGTTATTTATAGTAGTAGAGTATTATCATTCCTGCAGGTAAGAGAGTAGCACAGTGAAACATGTCTGTGTCCTCACCAGCTCTTTGAACTTGAACAGTCCATGTCCCGGTACCGTGCTCGGTTCATTCTGCTCCGCTGCCGGTGGGCTTTCCGGTGTCTCCTTGCTCTTTCCACTGCAGAGCCCACGAGCTGTGGGTGACAGTAAGGACCGGAAACTGGCCACCGACCTCTCATGACCTCCCCTGTACACGGGTACAGTGCGTGATCCGTGCGCGTGCCAGGGCGTTGCATTGACCTGCTGTAGGATCCCGCTCCAACACGAGACCGGGCTGTCCGTCCCTTTGAGTCTGAGCAGCCACGAGCCACTGACCGGGGTGTGTTTCACCTTTGCGTACTCGGTAACAGGTGTGTGTCTGTGCCGCCATGACGCAGGCTGGAGCCCGCACACACCCGCGGACGTCAGACCACGAGCGTTTGCTGCGCTCCGGTACAGCGGCGTGGAAATCCTCTGGAAACACATCATCATCTTCACAAGCCCTCTGTTATCGACCTGCTGGTCCGGATCTGTCCGTCCACCTTTTCATCATGAAGATCCAGGTTCTTATTGTCAGAGCCGACTGATACTCAGTCCAAGCCAGTAGGCTGCCATGTTGCCGTAAACTGATACCGCATTCGATGTCGTAAAATCAGCTATGTGGCTTTTTGCCCTTATGGCTTTTATTTTGAAGGAGGGGAGTTCTGACATCAACAAACCCATTTAAGCTGATTTTACACACATTTCAGAAATGGCAGAATAATCAGCTGTTTGTGATCGACAAATAAAGGTAAGCATTCAAAAAAATAAATAAATAAAAAAATAAAAAAGTTTGTTATTGAGAAAGGAGGAGTGAAAACGTGTGCATTTATGTTGATCTATGGTGTTAAAGATTAATTGAACCAATTAATCAAAACATTTATTGTCTGAACTTATGAGAAGAGGCCACTGTCTCACTATTTTTTGTATTTTTGTTTTTGTATTTTTCTGTTCAATTTATTTTTTGTTCAAAACCTTGGGGAGGGGGTCTATGTTTGGAAGTTGTATGTCTGTTAATGGAAAACTGCTAAATAAAGTCTGACAAAAATAATTATAATAAATAAATAAATAGATGTGGTATTGATTAATTTTACGCCCCTTTCTTATTTCAGTCTGATAACAAAAGCCTAAAATTTATGATATATTACTTTATTAATAATGTTCAGTCTTTATAATACTAGACATTAAGGGAAGTAATTAGATAAAATTACAGAATTATTGCAATTTGATGGATTTTTAAAGTAGCTTTTCACAATTAATACTGAAGTATACTGAAGTAGTTTGAAGCAGATCCTCAAATCAATATCTGACAGAGTGATTTCAATGTATTGACAGATTTATAACACATCTTAGCAGCTAAGCACTGTGAGGTCGAAAATGTCTCTTTTTTTTTTTTTTGGAAACAAAAACTTTTCTGCATTACCCAGTATTTAAAGGGAATCAGGCATGAAATTAAGTTAGGGTCAAACACACAGTAACACTGATTAGGACAGCCCCTCGAGAGATAAATGTTGCCGACCGCTTGCTTCTTTAGTTATGCCAACTTTAGTAACGACCGCAGGATAGCAATACACAGCGGTCTGTCTCCACGTGCAAACCTAATCATTTCTTTATGGAAATGCAATCAGATTGAGAACTACTGCGTCTGCAGTGCAAAATGATTATTACTTCAAGGAAATGATGAAGAAACTATCATAAATATTCTTCCTTGAGCTGCGTCACCCCGCTGCAGTCCGTAATGGACTGGTCGAGGTCTCGCTACAAACAAGCAGCAGCTGGAGGAGAGTGGGTGATTTGTGTTTGGTCTCTTTGCTAAAGAAATTAGGCAAAGCTAAAAAGATGTTTGATGGCTCGTACTATGGCTGGGACCCAATATGTACTGTTGATGAAGTTAGGTGCTGTTCTGAGCATTATTTGTGGATATAGAGTGGCTTTTTGGTTGAGGTTTGTGTGTGGAGATGTAGACCACTGTGTATTGCTATCGGTCGTTGCTGAAGTTGGTATAACTAGAGAAGCAAGCAGTCGGTGACATTCATCTCTCAAGGGGGTGTCTAACTTGGTCTCATAGTGTTTGACCTCAACTTAATTTTATGCCGGGATATCCATTTAAGTTTATCCAGTGTTATCTGATGTGGCATATATTTTTACAAAGCCACTTTACACCATTAATTATGACATAAACATCATATACATGTACTTTTTATTACAAAACAAAAATAGATGCATTGACAATACAGTTTATTTTCAGAGTATTATATTTTTAAAGTACAAAATCCCTCCTTGGCAAAAATGTGTATGTAAATACAACCTTACATTCCGATAAATTATTCTGCAAGAAAATACTTTATAAAATTAGAAGAATTCTTTCAGTATCTATATTCTGAATCATTCAGTGCCTTTTTATATTCTGACACTGACCTTGTAGTCAGGTCTGCAGGAAGTCTGTTGCAGTGTTTTGTTAGACAGTCTGCAGCTGGTACAGCTTTGCCCCTTTTTTCAGCAGATACCCCTGTTCATTCAGGGAACTCACCAGACCTTCAAAATCCATCACCTGGAGGAAATGAACCAAAGAATGAATAAGTTATCAAACACTGATACCGTTGTTCTGATTTTAAGGAAAAAATGTTCAGCAAAGACTCAAATATTGAGTTAGTGGAGAGCTGGGAGATATTTGACTTTGTAGAAATCTCACCAAAATATCTTTTCCTTCTTTAGAATTAACATGTAACCTTTTTTACCTTGTTTTTAATTCGCTGTCTTAACTTTTTGGGCACAACAATTTAGACAAACACACAGACGGTAACAAATGGTGGTATTAAATGCCTCTAACTGCTTCTACCTTGATGTTCAGTTTGTCGGCTACAGATCGAATCATCTGAAGGTCAAACTGCTTCTGATTGGTTCTCTGTGCATGCATGTGCAGAGCATTGACCAAACGTTTCCCAGAGCTGCGTTGACTCATGCCTGACCCCAGCTGGGAGCGCTCAAAGTCCAGATTGCCGAGACCATCTGAGTATGTATCAGCCAGACTGCAAAACAAGCACACACACGCGCACACAAAGAAGGGAGAAAAAATATAATATTACAAAGCTGGTGCTGCATAAAATGGGATATATGCTGGATTTTTCTCCTGAAAAGCATTTCTATCGTACTTCTGCAATAGATTTTAAGAGTCTTTTCTAAATCCTTTAAAATGAACGATCAGATCCACCATTTACTTTTGAGGGTCTAAAGTTGACTGAACACAAACATGCATCTTTCATTGGTGAGAACACCAATAAACCTAAAGTTCCTCTCCTCAAATATCAGACGTCAAATGTCAAACCCTGGGCACAAGGTAAGATAAAATGATTTTCTTACGGGCTAACTGAGAAAATAAGTTACATTTGTCCAAAAAAAAAAAAATAATCTATGTAGGTGATCCCCGTAGCAACCAAAGACTCCTGTAATGGCACCTGTGTTTCATGATCTCCACCACATCCTCAGCATCACTCTTGGTAGCGGTCTCTCTAAGATCCAGCCTGGCTCTTGCCTGTACAAAAACACCCGATTTAATACAAACACTGGGATGGAAGTGGACAAACAGGTTCTTTGAGTTGAAAGATACACTTCTGTAGTTTGCTGTAGCCTGAAACTATAGCAGAAAGAAATCACGTAACAGATGAACAGAAACCTACCTCAGATAGTCTGATTAAAGACTCGAGTTGTCGTGTGGTGATGGGTGTTGCATCAGCAGAGTGAGCCTGTGATCTCAGTGACAAGTAGAAGTCCTGAAGGATCTGTGCAGCCTCAGGGGACAGGGTGGGATGGACATACTGTCTAGCATAGCTGATATACTTCCTTAACAAACATGCTGGAATGGGGTCGATGTTTTCACCTGCAGGGAGCTTGACAAAGACACACACACACATATATATATTGCATAAAAAGGGTGGTGTAATAGTCCCACTGTCAATCTATTTTGGTGTGTGCTCCTCCTTATACCTGCAAACGTTCCGAAAGCGGCATATCTGAGTGTTCAAGTAAGACAGACATTGCTGATTCACTGTTAGTCCTGGTAACCATAGCGCTGCTGGTTCGGCCTTTTCCCGCCCTGTTTGCCATGACGTGCTCTGACAGGTGGCGATCATGTGACTCATCCGGGATGTCCAGAAGGAGGAAAACGACGTCAAACCGAGAGAGAAGAGCCGAACCCATTCTGAAGGTAAGAATGCACAAATGTAAAATTTGATTTGTATCAGATGTACAGTATATTTACTCTTACAGCGATATCCTCTTGCAGCTTTTTATTTTGTTTTTTTGTTGTTTAGTGAACTTACTTCAGGTTTTCAGAAACAGTCTTTCCTCGGTTGTAATGCCCTCCAATGGGGTTTGCAGCTGCCACAACTGATGCTCTGGCAGGAAGAGAGGAAACTATTCCAGCTTTTGCCAGGCTCACAGACTGCTGCTCCATGGCTTCAAGAAGAGCCTGCTGCTGGCTGCCCAACTTATCAAACTCATCAATGCAGCACAGACCTAAAAAGTAAGCAAGACTAGAAGATGAAGACAGGGAGAAAGACCAATGATGGATGCAGATATGACAGGCACTAATTCTCTTTTTCAGCCAGTGTTTTCTCTCTCTGCTACCTTGGTCAGCCAGCACCAAGGCTCCACCTTCAAGGGCAAAATCCCCTGTTCCTGCATCTCGGGACAGTGTCACTGTTAGTCCTGCAAAAACATAAACAAATAAACAAATCAGCATTAAAATGTTGAAATCTAACAGAATGTTACGGAAAAAATGTGTACATCTGTATTTGCAAATAACAGATGATAAATAGGAGCATTTCTTTGGATAATATACCTGTGGTGCTTGTGCTGTTGCCGCATACATAGATTCCTCTAGGAGCCACGTTGCACACTGCCTACACACAGGATTAGAAATCTAATTTGAGCACTCAATTTACATTCATACATATGCTGAGGCTGCTTCTCATTTCAACATACGACTGCTGAAAATACTAAAATACATCAAAACTTAGGCCAAGGAGTGACAAGATCACACTGCTGGCTGCCTCTTTAATGATCCATCAAAGGTTTCAGTGTTTTCTGTGTTACCTGTAACATCTGACTCTTTCCCAGTCCAGGGTCTCCCACCATCAGGATGTGTGGGTCCCCTCTAACCGGGACGCTGTTCTTATCTGTGTTCTTCTGTCGGCCTCCAAACAATGCCAAGGCTAGAGCAGCTTTCACAAGCTGGGGACACACAGAAACACAAAAGTTAGTTCGTCTTTTGTTTAGTTTGTCAGGGACCATGTAAAACAAACATTAATGTCAGATAATGGGAAAAGATGCATTGCACCAGGTTTAACTGATTCCCTCTGCAGTCTCTGGGCAGGTAGACACACGAGCATTACAGAATGAAACATACAATAAAGCCGTAAAAAAATATTAATAAGACATCATAAAATCAGATTGACATTATTGCCAACTTTCTCTACATCATTCGTCTAAGCCTCCCTGCATGCACAAAGAGCACACCAATAGCCACACTCTCACACACATTAACACACGCACACTATCACAACAATAGTGTATGATACAAAACCATGAAAATGACAAATTTCTAAACATTAGGTTTCAAAATGTGTGCCTATTTTCTAATCTTTCTGGAGCTTATTCCTCTCTCCCATGGCTATTACCGAACGGGCATATTGCACACAGGCAGAATCTCATTTCAGAAAGCAACACTTCCCTCTAGAGGCACATCTGCTCAGAGCAGAGTTGAACAAATCCTTTCAGAGGTGGAGGGGCAGTATTGAGAATTAACTTGAAAAAACAACTGAGCAGATGAATATATAATAAAACTGTCAAAATTTAACATTCTATGCTTAAGGAGGATTTGACTACGGCAGAGTATTAGGGCTACATTAAGAAAAAAATAAAAATAAGACCGAGATTAAAGTTGTTAATTTACAAGAATAAAGTCATTATTAATGAGAATAAAGTCATTACTAACAAGAATAAAGTCGTAATAAAATCATTGTGATACTTATGATAATGTGATGCTGATATGCCGAAAGATTAAGTGTCTCCTTGTTTGAGAAACCTATATTGAAGTACATTTTTACAAAATGCTCCATGGCTCTCATTTCAACAACTGTCATCTTAAGCGACAGGTTAGAATATAAGGACTTTATTATGACTTTATTCTTGTTACTAATGGCTTTATTTTTGTAAATTAACAATTTTAATCTCGAAATCTTTTTTTTTTTTTATGTGGCCCTAATACTTTGTCATAATTTGACAGTAGTGATAATAAATAAACTGAGAGATGCCAGAAAATATGCTGTTTTCACTGCATTCAAACAAATCATAAGCACACCTTTGTAGTCTGGGATGAAGATGCTGTAGGTGCTATTAATCTAGTTACAAGTGAAGAGCATCAAAGAACTCACCAGGTGGCCATAGATTGCAGGACACAATGAGCTGCAAAATAAAGTTAGATCAGAGTGTTTAATAGTTTGGGATGAGAAAGCACGGACTAAAAAGTACTGAAAGAGCTGAATGTAAGACAATTGAGTGTTTTTGTATAAAAAACTCTATTTTTCATCTAGTTTTACAGCAGTCCCTGTTGCTTAAACCAGTGGTTCTCAAGTCCAGTCCTCGAGGCCCACAGTCCTGCATGTTTTGGATGTTTCCCTGCTCCAACACACCTGATTCAAATGATCAGCTCGTTATTAAGCCATTACAGAGCTTGATAACGAGCTAATCATTTGAATCAGGTGTGTTGGAGCAGGGAAACATCCAAAACATGCAGGACTGGGCCTCGAGGACTGGACTTGAGAACCACTGGTTTCAACTCTAGACTACATCATTCAAAAAATTTCAGAGGAAGATAATGCAGGGCCTTTTTTTTTAAACAGCAAAAATATTCAGGAGAAGGTAGTCCATCTCTTACTGTACTATGAGTCTTAGCAGGTCAGGCTGTGACTGAATCTCCTGAATGGCATACAGCTCCTTTAGACTGAACTCCTCCCCTCCTGAGCGATCCTCTGAAGATCCTCCTGATCCTTGACCTGACTTTGACTGCTTACCTTTTGATCAAGAGGTTATAAGAGATTTATCTCTCTTATCAAATATCAACATGGCTGGTTTGTATTAAACTGATACAGCTAATACCAAATATAGAAGCTCCCTTACCTTTAGTATTACTGACTGAAGAGGCATCAAGGAAGAGGAGAAACATGCACTGGTCCTTGTTCCCCCGTGTAGTTCCTAAAAACAAATAATCATTTCAATATCAAACTGAACTCCCCCATGATAGGTAGAATGTATGACTGTGTGTGAGTGAGTGGGTTTGCACCATCGTTGGTGACTCGGACTATCCCTGTCACTGTAACTGTGTCTCCTGGGACGCAGCTGTCACACAGATCTGAGGTCAGGTGACACTCCACGGTGCGTGGGATTCTTCCTGCCTCCCTCTGCTCCCCACCCATCGTCTCCTGCACCCTGACGGAGAAAAGGAATATTTTCAGAAGTTGCATGGAAAGAATAAGTTAGAATGTGGGGAACTTATTAAACTGCCCACTCCAATACGAGCACACTATTGACAATAGCACTGATAAAGGTGAAGTTAGAGCACACTCTGCTGGACAAATTATTAAAGGCTCTTTTTGCTTCTCAACACAGTACATGTGAATTGGCCTAGTCAACATATGATCAATTTATCTGTTCAGATACAGTGCAGTTTATACATAATCGGCCTAATTGGCCTTGTACTTTCACAAGTAAAACACTTCAGCCTCACCCCAGTTTTCTAAGCTGAGAGTCAATTATAATCAAAGACACACTTACTTGATGATCTGCCAGTCTACGGTCTGAGTGAGAGGAGAACTTCTACAGGGGAGGAATGTTCGAGTGCGACACTCAGGCTGAATGCACTAGATATAAAAGACACGCATGACATCAATTTTAGACTGTTTCTATAAATCAAAATAATGATACCTATAGAAGCTTTTGTGTGTGCAGTTAAAGAAAACTGTATGCATGGTAGGGCTGTCCTAGTTTAGGATGAGGCTGAGGTGGTATCTTTCTTACCAAGTGCAACCATGGGCATGACTGGCCCAACTTAAAGCGTAATTAATTAGGCTGGGGTAGATGAATTGTAATTTGATTACAGGAAAAACCCAGCACATCAGAGCACAGTAATACTTGTGTTGTGTACTCAATATAATGGCTGGGCGATTAACCGTAAATTTACCAATTTACGACAATAACCAACATCATTTTGCCCATATTGGTATATCCGGTGTCAAAAAAATTAAAAAATAAAAGTTGTTTTTGGATGTGTGTGGGTAGGCTATGGTCTCATGTCCCTTTAAGACGCTGTCCTATGTTGGAGATGTGACTCCACCTCATCCAGTCCGTAACAAAGAGGAAAGACAGGTGAGGAGATGGAGGACGGTTCAAAAGTTGTAGCAACTGAAGCGGCAGCTGAAGTTGACAAAGTTAATGTAGGTGGGGGTGAGCAGCTTGTGGAGTAGTTATCGTCCTTTTATTGTTATCGAGGTGAACTGCTAAATATATTGTGATATTGATCTGAGGCCATATCGCCCAGCCTTATTAAATATTATAGCCCATAACAGATGTTGTTAGACAAAAGTAGTTTGTGTACTTACCTTGGTAGGTGTTGCATATTTCCCGTGCTGCAGCGGCAGAGACAGTATATTTGAACAGCCCACACACTTAAAGGCCATCCTGGTACACAGAGGTCTGATGTTGCTCACCCTGACCACCGTTCCCCTCACACACACCAACCGCCCGAACACGCTGGCACGCAGCATCCTCAATGGAGTCAGGGGTTCATAGTTATACAGCCTGTGGATGATTTGCAGGAATGCAGTTAGCTTCCTTCAGGTCAGTTGTTGAACACTGTGCTTGAACTGTATGCCTACCTCGCGCTAATGTGAGGGATGTTAATGATTGGTGCAGCGACAGGAAGTTCTTCCCCTTCGAGTTCAGCAGCCTGCTTCTCCAAATCTACCGTCAACACCTAAAACACACACACACGGACAAAAACACACTGTCTCATTTTGTACTTGACTGGAGCTTCTTTGATTTTCCTTCTCACTTCATAGTTTTAGGTTACTAGCTTTAAATCTAGAGGAGTGCTCAGAGTGATAGACAGCAGGGAAATTTATGCCCAAAATATAACTCTTATCTTTCAAAGAAACAGTGTGCTTCAATAAGCTTTATGAGTATCAATATAAAACAAAATACCTGGTCTACATACTTCCTCTGAGACAATAACCTCACAAGTGAGTTTTTTTTTAATATCATTTCCCTTTTACTTGAAGCTTTCAAAATGTCAGCAGTCAAAACCAGTTAAGAGCACTGTATCAGGCAGTTTTACCTCAAAAACTGAGTCTTTAAAAATGAAAAATGGTTTTGAAACAATTTAACTTGATGCACAAGTGTGTGGGAGAAACAGTTTGTGTGTGTATACCTGGTGAATAGCCAATCCTAAACAGTTGAGTAAAAGTTCTGGCTGCTCCCTTAGTTCTGTGGTCAGATCAGGTAACTTTCCACATACAGCCTTGTCTCCAGTTAGGTCTGCGTAATCCACCAGAACACTGCCTTGACGCTCTATCTCATCCTGGATACAAACAGATTGGCTACAATAAAGGATGATGACCCAAAGATTATTTAACAGGAGAATACTCATGTAGACAGATAGACTGACCTTATCATAGAGATTAATCCTGGAGGTGAAATATTTCTCAAACACTTTGATCTTTTCCACACTTGGTGAGCTCTCAATGAAGCCTGTAAAGAAATATAAGGTATATACTTTACAAACACAAAAAAGCCAAATCATCTAGACCTCTATTTCATTATGACATCGATACACATTAACATCAGGTAAAACAGAGATTTAAACGCACACAAGTACCTTCTGTGAAGTACAGTGTCCATCCTTTGTATGGACACAGTCTGTCCAAGGTAGTCTGGACAGGGACTGAAGATGCAGAAAGGATTATATATTATTTAAATATTTTGGAAAGTTCCTGGGTTTAGTTTAACTTTCATTTATAACATTTTGTAAGGACATTGGATGCCATCAGTGTTTTTTTCCCCTCATAAAATGTCAGAAAATAACTTTTTTAACCTAACTACTTGATAGATAAAATGGGAGAAAACAAATAGAGCTCACCTCTTCTGTTGCTTCCTGATCCTCCTCCTGGAGCACCACCCCCACCTCTCCATCCTCCTCCACCACCTCCTCCTCCTCTCCATCCTCCTCCACCACCACCACCACCACCTCCTCCTCTCCATCCTCCTCTACCTCCCCTCCACCCACCACCACCTCCTCTCCATCCTCCCCTGCCTCCTCTCCATCCACCACCTCCTCTCCATCTGCCATTACCTCCCCCACCTCCTCTTCCTCCTCTTCCTGAGCCTCTCCCAGATTCCTCTCCACTCATGAGTTTCCTGGGACAAAGCAAAAACAGAGCAAACATTCAAAGCAATTCACCAAATTCAGAATAAAGAATTTATTTGACTTACATAAGCTTATATTAGTCAGATTTTGAGGTGGTACATGTGTTTTACCTGAAAAGTACAACAAAACACAGCCGGTGTTTGGATATAAACCACTGCACAGGTACTCAAACACTCTGATGAAAAACGTTTATTTAGCTAAAGCACCTGAACAGTCAAATTTAAGGGACGAATCAAACCCTTTAAATAAAACTTTTAGCAGCCATGAGCTACTTGACATTTCGGCATATTAATCATTCAATAAGAATCTTACAACTTAACGACAGGTTTGAACTTTCCGCTGTCACAAACATTACGGTAACATTTATTTACAGTACACTACCGAGCAACAAACCACAAACCAATGCAGGACCTGACAACGAGATATATATTTAACACATAATATGACTACTATCAGCTACACAGAGGATTTTTGAGTGTCATACACAGTGAGCTAAATTCACGGTAAGTTTTATATAATGTTCCGTAAAAGCTCTGAAAGTTTAAAAAAAACACACTGACACAAACCTTTCGTTAAGCGTCAGCGAGCAACGACCGAAAAACAGCGAAAGTACACACTACAACAATATCCACTGTTTGAACTCAAAACGTTGCGAATTCATGGACGTTTATACTCCAAACTCAGTAAAAAAAAACAAATAAAGTACATTCATTCACACTTGTGTTGTCAAAGTTCCCTCCACTCCCTGACGACTGCCCTTTTTCTTCTTCGGCTAGTCTCTGTGTGTAGCAGAACGGGTTGTTGGCCCTTTACTTTCCTCCAGAGGACACTGTGGGTACTACAGCTGAGAGTACCACCAAGCACTTTGGCGTTTGTTACAGGTTAACTCTATATCAAAAGCTATCTATAGTATATTTCCCAATAATTCTAGGAGATATGCAAACAAGTTATTGCCGTTAACAGTTCTTTTAACTCATCATCTTGCCCTATTTTATTACAATCTTGGGCTTGTGTGCAGTTTTGTGTAGTTTGATAATACTGAGATTCCACAAAGTATTGTTGTTCCAGGTTCATGGTAGGCTAATTTACAATGTGGCAGATGGGGTTGCTGATATCCTGTATCCTGTGATATCCTTGTGCCACAGAGTGTTTCTGACAATCCAACAACATATCCTACCATTTACTGTAACATCATGTCGCTGTGACTGCATCAGCTCTTTCTTTAACTAAATCGGGTAAGATGCAGCTACTGTGTCATTTAAAAATTCACAAATGTAAGACTATTATGTCAACCCATAATTTCATCATTTTTTATCCTTGTGGCGCCAACTCACTGCAAAGGTAAAGACGCTTTTTAGAGCATATCTAGAGCATACTCTTGAATAGGACTTTGGTAGACAGTTCACTTGGTGTAACATAGGATGGTGTAGTGCTAATGAAACCCCCCTTGATTTTTTTTTCTCTCTTTGATGGACAGAACTGGACTCATGTTAAAAAGCAATTTGCCATGATGGACGGTCTGCTGTATAAAATTGCAGCTTTGACTGAACCTGCCTTCTCTGTTAGCCGTTGTTTGTTACAAGCTAAATCTCATAAGTATTATTATTATTTTTTTTTTTTGTTTAACTATGTTTAATAGATAGATAGATAGATAGATAGATAGATAGATAGATAGATAGATAGATAGATAGATAGATAGATAGATAGATAGATAGATAGATAGATAGAGGTAGGTAGCTTGATTGTTCTCTGTTGCCACTTTCTGGCCAGTTTGTGTTACAACAGCTGTCTTGCTAAAATAAAACAGACTTCCACAGAAACCTGTTTGTCCATCTGTTTTTCCTTTTCAGTCTATCATGTCTTCCACCCTATTTATCCCCTTCCCCTCTTTCTCTTTATATTATTTGATCTTCTTTATGCTCTTTACATAATGTTGCCTAATATAGCTTGAAGCCAGCACAGTGATTTTAATGTGTGCAAATTATTGGGGACACAGGAAAGTAGATTGAGTAGATCACTCCTCTCGTTCTCCTTTAATTTACTAACAAATACAGACAACCATTTATATTTCTATTACAGGACATGAATGAGTTTTAAATTAACTGAACTGTTTGGCCAAAAGTGGCTGTTCAGAGAACAAAGTTCAGTTTTGCTTCTTAAAAAGCACAGCCACTCTTAAACTGAAATTGGTCCACACAAAGACAAATGTATGAAGGCAAAAACACTCACGCACACTCACACACCCTCTCAAGGGAGTGTTTTTGAGGGGACAGAGAGACAGAACGAACAAGGAGAAAAATCAATACCTGAACTACTGTGGCCTGGAGTAGTTAGTGGTAATAGCAGAGGGATGAAAGGGATGGATGCGCACATACACAACACAAACACCTGCACACACACACTAGCACACACACACACATACAGTGAGTTGGTAATCTCAAAAACAGCTCTGGCGAGGAAAACAGACATAAAAATAAAGACAGAGTGAGAGATATGTCTTCTTATTCCTTCCTATCATTATCTTCTTAACGCTGAAAAATGAAACACTGCGTTTGTTTTCTTCTCTTCACACTCGGTTGTCTTTGCGATTTGATCTTTGTGATGATAGCTGCTGTTTGTGGAGAAAGATTGGGGGCTGGAGGACTTCTACAGAGAGACCCTGAGGGGCTCTGCCACTCACCAGGAGGTTTCATTTTGACTTGATCAATCAACTCCAGGGGTCTCACTAAGTCAATGCAAATTCAGTGCATTTTGGCAAACAAGAAAAGATTGGATTTTCTTTCCTTTATTTATTTATTAATTATTATTATTATTTTGAATACAGTTTGTTTTTCAGACAGAGTTCATGACCTGCAAGTAGGCGTATGCTGCAGGGTTGTGACTTAAATGTTTTCCATTGCTTTGAATGAGAGCCTTCATTAACAGGGAGTAGAAAAGATCGTAAAAAAAATACTGTTTTCCTTTTTCCCTTTTTTCCTGTACTAATCTGGAGATTCATCCTTCAAATGAATGATAAAATCAGTTAGCTTGGTTATGCATAACAGAATATACTTGATTTTTCCCCATGACTAGAATCCCTATACTAGCAAAAAGGGCCTCCTCTCATGTGCATGTTCTTCTGGTCTGGTGGCATCGCTGCTCATACTTTCTGCAACACACCAAAAGTTTTTTTTTTTTTTTTTATCTGTGTGAGTTTCTTTTCAGTTTCCAGCTGGAATCACTTTTGGAAAAAAAACAACAAGCAATCAAAGCAATGGGCACAAGATGACTCCCCACAAGTCTATTGCAATGCCCAGTGATCTATTGTGGCTCCGGGAGAGCAGCACAGGTCGATAGGTGCATGCAGGCAGCCGTCACCTGTTTGCTGCGGAGAGAAATTGAGCTGTCAAAGCTTTTTCTTCATTGTTTTTAACATCTTTCTCTGCAGCAAACACTAACGGTGGAAATATTCTTGGAGGCAGGACTGGAGATGGTCCAGAAAACACACAATAACAGAGTTTTATTCTAACAAAAATAAAAGTCTTTATTAGAACAACATTACGGGTGGCAATGTAATTGCTAGTATTTTATTCCTGAATATGAAGATGCTTTCATAGAAACAATTTGCCAGTTTTAAACTGAGTGTATCACTTAAACTTTATCTGTAGCTCGCAGGCTGTTTCACCAGAAATTCAAGAATTAGACTAGTTTTATTTCAGCATATTTAAGCAGATTTGGTTTTATGGTTCACGGTTTCATCTCTGTTGAAGGTAGACAGCCATTTTAATAGAAAATATTTAAACCAATAATACTCTAGGGTTGGCACAATATCATTATTGTAAACGTTGATGTAATACTAGTGATATCAAACAGTGTCAACAGTTGTTACCGAAACACTGCTACAACTCCTCACAATTTGGACTAGTTAGGTATAGAAAGTGGTGTATTCAGTCTAAGATACCTCAATCAGGAGGTGGTGTATGGGAAGACAGCGAGAGGAGATAGGCAACTGGAGTTGGAAGCAGTGATGGTTGGTGCAATGAAATACATTCAAGACCAAGACCCTGTCGCCAAAAGTGAAACAAAAAGCCCCAGAACATTTTCAAATATTGTGATTGCTAAGTCTTTGTTTGTAGAAATAGACAAAGCTCTTCATATAGATACTGACAAAGAAACGCAAACACACTCTCTACAAACACTTGACAATAGTAAAAATACCAACTCACGCTGAGGATCTGGAAAAGGCTGCTCTGACAGCTTACCACTGAGCCCTGCTGACATTTCTGTCCTCTCTGCAGGCCATCATTTTCAACTACAGATTGAGGCGTTTCAGCTGTTATCTGAGGGTAACATATGCATGAAGACACCAGCAGTGACTCCCAAACACAATCAACCAGACCGACCTCCTATGGCCTTGTGGTGAGGAGCAGCTCTTTCCTGTGCTTAACTCTGATGGAGATGTCAAAAATCACAGAAATTACTTTTTTTTCTCTCTCCCTCCATCCTCTGCAATTTAAACAGAATATTACCCTCATGACATTTCTTTGTGTGCTGTTTTTTTTTTTCACTGTGTGTCTGTGTTTAAAGAAGAGATGAATAATCATCTGCCATTTTTGCTCCAGAGAGCGAAAAGAGCATTTAATGACCTGTGTGACTTCTCTCCTTTCCCTGCCACCTGTCTCTCCTCTGTCTGGAATCAACGCTTTACTCTCCATTTTCCCTTTCACCACTAGCCAAAGCTCTGCACGGACAAACTCAAACAGCACACATCAAAAATACACATTAAATTTACCAAACCTTGCTCTCACTCACGACTAACACAGAGGAGTCCTGAAAGCAAACTGAATGCTTAACATATTTTACAAAGACTCAGTTGTCTCCGAGTGAAATGTCTGTATTGATACACGCTGCACGTGAGTGTTTGTGTGTTTTATGACTGTATATTAGCTCTGAACCCCAGTGGGTCTGTTTCTTCATCTCAACTAATTTGTGTTTTTACTGCACACTAATGGACTATTATATAGTACAGACACACACATAAAGTTGAAGTAGTTACTCTCTGCGTGTGTGTGTGTGTGTGTGTGTGTGTGTGTGTGTGTGTGTGTGTGTGTGTGTGTGTGTGTGTGTGTGTGTGTGTGTGGGTGGCTGGTGAAATGGGATAGTGTGTTAACTTAGCTAAAAGAGTTTCTTTCAAGTCATCAGTTTCAAGCAGCGAGGATAGATTGGTTTTGACTAAATATGCAAAATGAGCTCCTGCTAAACTCATTTAATTAGATTTTTACACTTCCCAAGAGGCAACAATTAGCTCCCAATGAGCACTACATGCAAAACCTAGGTTACACTTACAGGAGGATTCAAATGTTCACTTATCACCACAGTACATAGTTTTTTTTTCTTTCGTTTACCTTTGCCTGTTCATGAGTTTGATTCTCTTCATCAATAACCGTGTGTTCAAACCAAGTGCTAATAAAATCATCCACTTGCTTCATTTGCGCATATCTAGATGCGTTTCTTGTCATTTGCACCGCCAGAGTAGAAAGAGCCTCTAATTGTCTTTGCATTGACTTAACATGTAATTCACTCACGCAAATTATTTTATTTGCACTTGGTATGAACGCCCCAAAACACATTTAAACAAACATGTATTCTTGACAACAACTACACAGAAATAATTTGCTAAAGAGCGCAAAAGATTACCGTTGTGAAGTTTCAGAAAAGCTGGTCAAGTTTAAGCACATTTCAGACAAAAAGTTGACACCATTCATGACAATGTGTTGGAGGTAGCAAATCTA